ACTCATCATACACCACTCATCATACACGACTGATCACACACCACTCATCATACACCAGTCATCATACACCGCTCATACACCAGCTCTGGTTTCAACAGCTCAAGCTCCAGGCAACTCCAGCTCCAGGTGCAGATTTCGTGGCAGGTGCAGCACTTTGTGAACCTCCATGTGCAGATTTCGTGGCAGGTGCAGCACTTTGTGAACCTCCATGTGCAGATGTCGTGGTAGGTGCAGCACTTTGTGAACCTCCATGTGCAGATTTCGTGGCAGGCACACCCCTCTTGTCGTGGCAAAGATACAGCCCAGTACGCTGTTGTGAGCTGCTGATCCTGCAGGGGGCACAAGTCCGGAGCGCGTGCGTTTGACTGGAGGACGCGCATGTTGGAGAGAACGTGGACACTCCTATAGGTCAATTTGTTCTTATAGGAAACTTCCGCCGCCGGCTTGCCCGGGAACTACTTGTAGCGTCCTTACTAGTACTAGTAGTAATGCCCTTGTGACTAGTTGCGATGTCCCATCCATACTAGTGCAAAATATATGTCCCATGAATTGCTGCCCACGCCTTCACTCGCTTGGGCTTTGTGTCCGCCAACTCCAAGCCGGCGCCAGGAGCCTGAGCCGTCCATCTGGCTCGCACCACGCGCAGCAGCCGGGAGAACCCCTTGTCCACCCGTCCGAAGCACAAAGAACCTTTATGGGAGCTTCCCAAGTGCTCCAAAAATGCTAGATCTTGGATAAAGACTCCTTATTGGGATTCTTGGTGTGGCAAGGGTAGATGTTAGCCGCTATTTACAGCCACCAGCTTGGGTAAGGGCCAGGATAGTTCCCCACATCCTAGTGTGGGGATATTACTTGTTTAATCTTTTAACTCACTCAGTCCTCACCTCACCAAGGGACGACCACTTGCCACTCTCGCACGGCTACTGGCCTCAGATAGCGCCACCACCGCAAAGGAACAACTTAAAAAATGGGGATCACTTGTTCCAACCATCATCCACTTGGTGATTTGTCTGAAAAATGTTGGTCACCCAGTGTGTGAAAATCGTGGAAAATCATTCCTCCATATGTCTCTTTCCGAAAAACCTCCAAAACTCAAAACTCTTGCGTTCAACCTCCGGAACCGATTCGAAGTGTTTTCTTCCTAATGGTGGGGGCTAACGTATCGAAGCTGTTTCTGGAACGGCCTGTTGGTTTCCAGGACGCCGACGCGCCGACCGATGTCTGGGTCCAGATTGGTTCCGGCGGTCAGGACGCGGACCGATCCCCTGACCCTGGGTGGCTGACCTCGTGGGCTCCTCACAAGACGCTCAACCCATTCTGTTCATGTTCAACCCAGGTACGAATAGCAAGAGCCACCCGTATCAGTCACAAGAGAACAGAAAGTCGGGTGTGGGTCAGAGACCGTGAACTCTCGAGTTCACGGTCGTAGGGCGTCGACACACCGAGAGTTCGCCGTTGGGGTAGTCTCCACACACCCTTCGACACGGCTGGGATGCTACTAATGGGATCGGCATAAAGCGTGCATGAAACAGGCGCGAAAGTCAGTGGTCTGTCTGTATGGCAGGATCATTCCATACATGGAGTGTCTCCTGACAAGGCTGTTGGCGACCCATTTGCACCGTGAATTGGTCTCTATGGGCCTCCCAGGTGTGGCTTCGTCCAGCCGTGCCGGGCTTCGAAGCTGGCAATTCCTTACAGAAGAACCAGCATAGAAACTGGACACGCGTGTCACCAGCATAGAAGCTGAACAGTGAAGGACATGTTTCTTGACCTGTCCGACCGTGGTGACAGGTCCGGTCCTATGTGTATATGTCGTTAGAGGTCCTTGGAGGCGATGGGCAACAAAACCCGCCAGTTCCCGCCAGTTGAGTGACGTCAGAAGGTTCTCTTGTATTGTAATCACTACATTCTCAGTTGGCCTCCCTACCTGCAACCTAGGCCGGTTAGAGCCGGATCCGGAAACTAATCGATCGGATTCTGAAACTAGGGTTCTGAAACTGGGGTTCTGAAACTGGGGTTCTGAAACTTGGATTCTGAAACTGGTATTCTGAAACTGGGGTTCTGAAACTAGGACTCTGAGACTTGGATTCTGAAACTGGTATTCTGAAACTGGGATTCTGAAACTTGTATTCTGATACTGGAAAGTCAGATTCTGCAACTGCTATTCTGAAACTGGGATTCTGAAACTGGAAAGTCAGATTCTGCAACTGGCATTCTGAAACTGGTATTCTGCAACTGCGGATCTCCACATCATGCGATAGCGTGTGCCTGTGACTTCATCTGCACATCCAAACCAACGTCATCAGCCCCCCCCCCACCCCCCCCCCCCCCCTTGTCCCCATCGTGTGATCTCGACATCACGCCAACCCCCTCATCATTCACAAAAGTTGCGGAGTCCTATAGGGAATCCACCATTTTGCGGAATCCTAGTTGCGGAACGCCAGTTGCAGAATCCCAGTTGCAGAATCTTAGTTGCGGAATCCTAGTTGCGGAATCCTGACAGTTGCGGAATCCTAGTTTCGGAATTCTAGTTGCGGAATTCAAGTTGCGGAACCCTAGTTGCGGAATCCCAGTTGCGGAATCCTAGTTTCGGAATCCTAGTTGCGGAATCCCAGTTGCGGAATCCGACCAAATAGTTGCGGAATCCTAGTTGCGGAATCCTGCGCAATTGCGGAACTCGACTTTCCCTGGGCATCAGATATTGATCCTAATCAATATTCTTGAAAAAAATCAACAATTTCTATTGATTTGGGCGCGTGCTTTTTCAATAGAAATTCTTCCTCAAAGCCAAGCAAAAATCAATAGGAAATTCAATAAACAGCAACATGGTCAGCTTGATCAAATTTGATCAAAAACCAGCCAAATTTGATCAAATTTGATC